AAATGTTAAAATAAAATCCAAAGCCCAAAAAGCTTTACAAGAAAAATTACATTATGACAACTTTTTTAATTTATCTAATCTCAATCATTTGTCCTTATAAACTCAAGAAAATATTGATTTTTTTTTCCTCCTTTTTTTTTTCATTAGTACAGAGCCAGCTTGCTTTTCAGTTTCCGAAAATAACCTTGTTAAAGGCCTAAAAATGAAAAATAGCTTGTTACACCAAAAATAGAAAGACACTGATAATTTTAAAATAAGTTGGGCTTGGACAGATTCTTGGGCCCAACTCTTTTCCCTGAATCCCTAATAAGATTAACTGATTATCAATTGCTCATCTTGCTTCCTTTCAAATCGAGGACAGTCAGTCAATGACACAAAAAGACCCTTATCTGGCTCCACACGCTTGGACTAGGGGATTAATCCCTTGTCTTTTTTAGTGGAAACATATGCCATGGGTTTGATAATCGACTCTTTGAAAATCCCTTTTCCCATCCCTTTAGTATGGTAGGAATATTTGTTAGAAGTTGCCTTTGTTTAAAAAAGAAAAAAGAAAGACCGTTATCTTTTGCATATAAGCCTCCACCAGGGAAAACAAAACAGGACTTGTCTAGGAAAAAAAAAAGCATACACAGGTCCACCACAAAAGATTTATCAAACTCAGGGAACCAACGGATAGGTGATGGTATGGGTATTTCATGTATTTTTTATGTTTAATTACGAAATTTCTATTTGTACCAAACTAAATAATAATAATAATAATAAAGGAAATCAGCGCCCCATGATTCAAGTCCCAAGTTAAAAAATTTAGTGACTAATTCGCCTCGACTTGGACGCAATGAATTATACCAACCCTCTTCTCCGAAATTCTTATGTTTAATAAAGAGGCCGGTGGAAGAGATAAGAAAATCTGAGTGGGCCATGAAAATCAATTTCGGTTAATTGCTGTGCTAATCATACAAGTTCAAATGGGAAATGGAGAAGCATCCAAGTAAAGAATAAGATCAAATTAGTTCATGACACTTCATCTTATTAGATTAGTGTTATTATTGGAAAATCTGAATATTATGACGCTTTTTGTGACAAGATATGACTCATCCATTATACACACTTTGAATGCAATAATTCCAAAAAGTATAACATACAATTTTTTTTTAAATAATATGAGTCTTTAAATTTTTATTCTTATTAAATTTATAATATTTATGAATCATTTATCTACAAATACAAAAGCTATACCTTTAAAGGTGATGAACAATATTACTCATTATTTTTTTTTTATTAAAACAGTCAAAATATCTTTCACATAATTTTTGCATAACTCAAAAGTCAAAACTTAAACTCTAAATCTACTAAAATTGTTTGTGCAAAATGATGTTAGAGCCTTACAGGTATTCAAAGATGAAAAAGTAAATTAACGAAAGTGGGCATGTATATGCCCAAGGCTTGGAATATAGGAACATCCCATTCAAATGGACAAAGGGTAGCATCTGCTTCGGTTTGGTGGTCATGAGATGGACCAACCATCTCTAGACAACTTAAACTCTAAATCTACTAAAATTGTTTGTGCAAAATGATGTTAGAGCCTTACAGGTATTCAAAGATGAAAAAGTAAATTAACGAAAGTGGGCATGTATGTGCCCAAGGCTTGGAATATAGGAACATCCCATTCAAATGGACAAAGGGTGGCATCTGCTTCGGTTTGGTGGTCATGAGATGGACCAACCATCTCTAGACACCACTTTTACCCAAATAACACGCTCCCCTTCTCCATCAGCATCTCCAACTCCATAACACTAGCTTTTTCTTCATTTTTTTTTTTTTCTTTTTCTCACATATTCCTATAATCCGGTCCCTGGTCGGTCATAGGTAGCACCTTTTCATTGGCTGACATCTTTACAACTATGCGAGAATCCACCATAAATTAAAAAGGAAAATCACCGTCCTCCTTGTAAGTATCCTGACAAAACATGTATCGCATAAGGGAAAGAATCCTTATAATTTAAGAAAAGCAATAGAGAATACCCAGTTTTCTAAATCCTTAATTACTTTGTTCAACATACCAAAATTTGCCTACAAGATTCATACATGTGACCCTTTCGTTTTGAATTTTGAATCAAAACCTATTATACTATTGATCAACACTTTCTTATTTTATAAAAAAGATTTAACGAATAAGAGAATTTAACTTTGTAGTTCATTTTTGCTGCATAGCTATGATTGAGGCATCTTTAACTTTGATTAGGACATTATTCTCAAGCCCTCAATTGGGTATTTTAACTTATGAGATACTTTACGTTCAAATCTTGATAATATTGAATATGTAAGGAATTTCTTTGGAAAAAAAAAAATCTTTCCTATTGTATAGTCCAAAACCATATGCAAAAAAAAAAAAAGCATTTTTCTTAATCAAAATATGTTTTATAGTTCAAACTGATGATCTCTTAATAATGGGTAATGATTCATTTATCCAATAATTACTATTTTACAATTTAATATTGTTCAAACTACAAAATATTGAATTCTTTCTTAACTTTGATTATATATTGCTCTATTTCATTTTCATCCTCATTTTCTTTTCTTTTTCTTTTCTTTAATCATGTTGATATGTGGTTAGAGATAAATCCCCACATGCACATCAAGGGAGTGTGACACACAGAAACCCTAACTTGCATTAAAAAAAATTTTTAAAAATAAAGAAAACCCATTAATCCCCTATAAAAGACAAAGCTACTTCCCTTCTTTCTTCTTGCACAAAACCAAGCTCATTCTAGAAAAGACCCAACGTCATTCAGTCTACTCTTTTCCCTAACCATGGCAAGATACAACGAATACTCAATCTTGGACTACCTTTCTCCTCCTCCTCTTCACCTTTGTTTCTTCGTCTTCGTTCTCTTCTCTGTTTTGGGCTTATCGTTGTACATAAACTACGAGTCTGTGTACGAGGATTTGATTAGCCGGGTCAAGTTCTTCCTCATCCTCTCTCCCTTATTTTTGCTGTTCCTTATTCACTGCTTGTCCAGTGGAACTTTCTTCGTACCACTACCGGAGAAGGAGGATCTTCACAGGGCAGGAGGATCTCCGTGGGGCGTGGCGCTCCTCCTTGTGTTCCTTCTATTTCTCATCTCTCACCAGTCTTCTTTCCATGAGCGTTGGTTTCCATTAGTTACTAAATGATTGCTTAATTCCAATATGAGATGTTAAGTATGTTTCCCAATGTGTAATATGCTGTAAGCTTGGCTTGTTCTCTTCTTAGTATAAAAGACTAGCTAGCTTTTTGTTCTTTTTTTTTTTTTTTT